CATCTTGTTAGCTCTAGAACTATAGCCCGGCCTCCGCTCCGCCGCAGAAACATTTCCTGCAGGATTTCACGAGATATCTCTGGCGGGAGTAGGTAAGAACAAAGGCCAGAGTTATAATTCGAACAAGTGAACATTTAGCTAGACATAGATACCAAGATGGAAGCTGTTGGATGTGTATTCATGCTGTGAAGGTGTGAAATAAAGCGAGCGTCGAGCGAAGCAAGATTAAATTTAAAGAAAGAAATCTTGCTTCACTTTGTGAATCGGTAACATTTGACAGTCACGGATGTACATGACAAATTATGTGATATTTCACTGAACAGTTCCTCAGAGATCAGACATTTAGTTTCCGTAACGGACATGACAGAAAACGGACAAGGGTTATCACTGTACTGTACACATCGTGAACGCTGTGAGCTTCATGGCTATATCTTTCCAGTTTTTGTCTAATTCAAATCTTGAAATAACCCTCTAGACCATGAACACAACTGTAAATGTATTTAGGCAACTATGTTTTTCTTTCATTAAAAAAAAGGTGTAACGGACATGACACTTTGTTCCAAGCTATAATGCTTTCTTCTGAAGGAATTATGCCTTCATTTATAGTACTTATGAAAACAGGAGTCTGATTCATATGACATGCAATTCAAGTGAATTTATTACCTTGAGAAGCCTACCTACTAACCTTAGATATGGTACTATACTACGACATGATTGGCTAATTTATATTCATAAAATAGCAAGTCAAAGAAATATACCTAAAAAAAAAATTTTTTTTTATTGTGTTTTCAGTGAGCTTGAGCTTGGTGTTATGATGAAAGTCAGTGTGACTTAAAATATAAAAATGTAGACTTCATTTAAAAGCAATCTACAAGAAACTTAATGTTTTTACTTGAATGAACATTTTTCGTGGAATTGTGCAGGTACGGTTTGTACTTCACCTACAAACTTTAATGTTTAATATCAACAAAAAATATATAAATCTTCTTTGAAGATATGCCAAGATTTGTTTGAGGTGGCGCTATTGCATGTGCTGCCTCTGGTTGAAAGTAGGCAGTTTTACTGTGCAGTTTCTAAAAATGTAATAGTAACACTACTACTACTACTACTACTACTACGACTACTACTACTACTACTACTACTACTACTACTACTACGACTACTAACACATTCAACTATTTTAGTAATTGGTTTAACAAACAATGGAATTTTGCTTTATTTAACAATTTAAATTGTTGTTACTCACTGTGTTAACTGTATACTGTATATGTCCATAGCAACTAGCCAGATTTTTTACGCCGACATCATTTTGGCAGGTTCTACCGTAATTATAAATTTACTTGCCAACTACGCTGTACTATACTGAGATACGTGTCCACTTGTTTTCAGCTGTTTCATTCCGCCCGATGTTTCTCCACCAGCAAGCCCTTGGATGTCAAGTTCTACGATGAACCTTTGGATGCCATAAAAGATATACCAGATGGAGCAAAATTACTAGTTGGAGGTAGATTGCATTTTATTTCCTAACCCGCTGACGATAAAATTGAATTGAAGTTGAAATATATGAAATTTAATCGTAATAAATGATGAAAAAATTTCTAATGAGGCTTTTTACGTCTATAGGATTTGGGCTTTGCGGCATACCAGAAAACCTAATCGATGCTTTGGTGGAGAAAGGAACAAAAGAGATTACAGCAGTCAGTAATAATGCCGGTGTTGATAACTTTGGACTTGGCAAACTACTACGAACGCAGCAGGTTAGTAGAGAGAGCGAGTGTCGCTTGTCTTGGACGCGTGTCCACTTCAAGCTGCTTCAGCTTGAGGTATAGTATTTTACAAGTATTTTACAACTGTCGTTTTCTTCACAAGTTGAAACTATTCCTGGGGTACGTTTCACTAACGTCCGCTAAAGTTGTCCGCTAAGTTTTCCGTTTGCTATTTAGCGAACGGAGGCATAACGGAGAACTTGGCGAACGGACAACTCTTGTTTCACGAACGCTCCGCTAAGCCTCCGCTATTTAGCGAAGGAAAGCAGGCAGCCAGCCTACAGATAACTGCAGATAAGTGCAGTTGGTAGATTACGTTCTATCATATATACACCAACATATCCCGCACACGCCGCGTATCTGCATTTTCATGAACACATCCATTTTATGCATACAAAGACACTGAAATCATCGCCAGATATACTGCATCAACTTGAAGAAGAGCTCTCGCCCAGCACAATGAGATCTAGAGCCATATCTACCTCTTTACAAGTTTTGCGTCACTACGATTTACTGCAACTAGAAGCATTCAGCAAACGGCTAGCGATACACTGGGAATACACGGCTATCGATACACATGGCCAAGAGACCTCATGAAAATGAGGGAGTTGTTGGTGTATATGATAGAATGTAACCTAGCAACTGCACTACATGTTTGTAGTTATCTGCCATCTAACTGCCACTGCCAGTTGATTTAGCGGAGGCTTAGCGGAGCGTTTGTGAAACAAGAGTTGTCCCTTCGCTAAGTTCTCCGTTATGCCTCAACTTAGCGGACAACTTTAGCTGACGTTAGTGAAACGCGCCCCTTGGCTGCCCTTCCGTTGTTTTTATGATGCCAATTAATTGAGCTACGCTTGCAGAGGCATGCTGCTACAGAAATAACATCCATGTGATCCCCATCAGACGCATATTTGTGCCTTGCCCGAGTATCATCATAATTATTCTCTCATCAACCCTATCAGCAATATGCTAGCCATCTGTAGTGTCTTCAGCTTATTCACTGACGTTACTCCGTGTGTGCATACAGCAGGTCTTTGCTATACGTTGCCCAATTTATTTTAGTTACACCTCCAATGATCAATTACTATCTCTTATACTAATATTATATTGATACAGTCAGTCTCTCTCTCTCTCTCTCTCTCTCTCTCTCTCTCTCTCTCTCTCGCTCTCGCTCTCGCTCTCTCTCT